TGATCCCTTGTGTCTTACCTCCTCTTCAGCTTTTACCCATTCAGGAGAGGTATCGGGTTAGCAATTGCACCTACCTATATTGCCTGTTTCCATATTTAACTCCATATGCTACTCATTGTCTTATTAGCCTTCTTTTCGGTAAGTTTACCTCCCAATCCTATGTCACAGAAGTAGCGTTCCTCTGCCAGTGTCGGTTTTTCAGTTGTTCCTGCGTTCGTAATTAAGCTCCCCTCTCGGATCCCACTAACAGCGCCCTCAACTGAGACAACTGGCCGTATTCCTGCACTTTCTCGTTACTAATGAGTAGCATGATATTCATCGAACGGTCATCCTTACCACTGCGCCTTTGACCTTGACTGTTGGGTTTTGGAATGCCAGCCGTGTGCATTGGATTGCGACAAGTAATCTAAGTTGTGGCTTCGATTGAATTTAAGTCAGCCTCTGCCATTTCGATCACTGGGACCGTATCCGAAATGGTGGTTTTCGGTGTTGCTCTATCCCAATCCTGCACTCCATGATTCGTTTAGTCTTTGTTTCGACTCAACAGTTGAAAATAGCCAGATCTGGCCTAGTGATCATGGCGACAGTCGCCAACCACTATGTGCTGAGTTCTAGCCCCAGCTTAGGCTATCTCTACCTGATGTGTCCAACCAAGGAAGAAACGCGTCGTGGAGTGCTGGGATTGGAAAGAGCAATACCGAAACCCTCCACTTCAGATTGGGTCCCTGACCTCCTTCACACAGCCAAATTTATTTTATCCCATTGTTTATTTTCTCAGATCCACTAGCTGACTCCCTTGAACTACAAGGGACTGCACTGTGGATTGTTGTAGGATTACTTTGCATGCCTCAATTTAGGACTTTACTGATATATATCAAAGTGGTCTTACATTCCTTCCTTCATTACCTTATACCGTCCGATTCCTTTCATTCTTAATGCTGTTACTTTGTTCTATCTTCTCCTTCCACACTGCATTATCACCTGTCGTTTGCCAACCTCTTCCACCTCCAGTTTATGGTGAACTCTACCATGTCGGATATTCCGGCATGGTTATTTGCTTAATAATGTAAAACAGGAAAGAGACCTTGGTGTTATTGTATGCTCTGATCTAAAAACCAGCCAAGATACTTTGAGGAAGGTTGTTGCAGCTAACAGACTACTGTGCTCTATCCGAAGAGCCTTCTCACGATTGACGCCGGAGATCTTCATACTTGTGTTTTCCTCTCATGTGCGTTCAGTCCTCGAATCTGGATTACTTGCAGTTCATCGGCTGGCAAAGTTTGAACATGGCTTTATTGAGAAAGTTCAGCGGCGCGGTTCTAAGTACATATTTGAGCTCCGACACCTGCCATATCACATTCGTCTCCGGCACTTGAATTTGTTCTCTCTGGCATATCTGCGTCGCCAAGGCGATTGGATCTACGCTCGGCGCATTTTGCAAGGTGAGGTGAAAATCGAGCTCCAAGGTTTCTTCCAGAGTAACACTGAGTTCGACTCGGGACCACTGCTGGAAACTGTTCAAACTTAGGAGACTCAGGTTTCACTCTGGTTTTACCCTATCGATTTGTGCGGTGAACGACTGGAACTCCTTGCCTGATTCTGTCGTCAAGGCGCATACTGAGGAATGTTTCAAAGGATTGTTGGATTTATACTTTTGAATTTGCAGGGATCCTATTTTTTCTTATGCAACCGTGACAATCTAACTTGTTGATTGCTGTTGCGGAAACGCCTGCTATGATTGGGAGGTGATGGAGCTGACAAAAGTCTTTCCTTCTGCTCTCTACATTCCAATGATTCCAATGATTCAACTAGTTAGGATCCGGTTTCTTGTCAAACAAAGGTCTGAAATAGAGAATTACCAGTTTGGCAGTAGCCCACGATTATGAAATTTTGTCCCGCACCCTTGTCCCTGATTCGTGTAAATAACTGTTCATGTGTGGAAGCTCTGTGGTGGTCCACTGAAACAAACACATGATTATCCACGTTAAAGTGGAGAAAAATGGCTACAACGTGGCTTGACAGATATGAAGACGATGTTATAGCTTGTCAAATCTAGTATTTTCATTACACAGTAGCTTCAAGGGTTAGAGGGTTAGCACAAGAATGCCATGCGCTCCGTAGTAGATGGTGACCGTTCAAGTTAAGTACGCATATCAGGCACTCACAACACGATACGAAAAGATCAGAAGTAGCAATTTGCGTACAATCCAGGAACCAAAGTGCAGTTATTCCTCTGAAATGCATTAACTTTCCAGAAGGTAAATGCGCACACACGTCATATGTACGTCCGAAAGATACTGAGCATTTTATTCGACACTCAAGGCACCGTTGTGACAGAACGAGTGTCAAGTGGGAAAACTGCCAACATTATTATGAACGAGTTTTGGGTAACTCAGGGGATGTGTGGGAAGGGGGTACTCTGAGTTGTGGATGACGGTGTGGAGCTCAGATCATGTCATCTCATCGTCATTCTAATAATTTTCATCCAGTAAGAGCGTCACAATCCCTAGACATTCTCCTTGTTGTCCTAGTTTCGTGTCATGCGACTTTTCTCTTATTTCGGTTTACAAGTCGGAGCCGAGGGAATCAATTTTTAACAGTGCAAAGGATGTAGGTATTTTCCGATAGACAGTGACCTATCGAACTACCTTGAGTAATGGAACGGATGTATGCGTAAATGTGTGGACTGGGTGAGTCTTACCTCGTTGGTCTATGTTGACACTGCATCTATGACAGGCTCGAAACGATCTCACAGCCGTCACAGAAGTACTTGGCCTTTGACCTTACATGCCACGACTCGCGGTTACCTTTTTCACCTGGTTGGACTACTTGCTTGAGGTTTATTGGTTGCCGAGCTATATGTGAGCAACTACTGGAACGGCTAAGGCACGCGATTTCGAATTCCGGTTGCTAAACCCTATCCCTGTACGTGCATCGCATCGACATTAACACTAGGTATAGTGTATTGAACGCGTGCCTCACGCGTGGTGTTTATTCTGGCCATAGATGTAGGGATGAATGTGCTCCTTGCAAGGGATCATTACAGCCTTTTGCATCCGATACCGTCCGTCTGATTACTGCATCCAGCGGCCTGCTAAGGTTTTCGTGATGCGACGTGATGTACATCCTGTATAGCAAAGCTAAAGTGGCTGCTCCACAATAGAACGGGTCACAGTCAACCCCCTCAATGAATACTTCAAGTTTGCATAGGCTCCCAAAATTGTCTAAGGATTACATGTACTGACGGCCTGTGGACAGACAAGCACTAACTCGTGACTCCAAGTTGCATACCTACCTCTCTGCTTTATGCCTTCGGGCTTACAAAACAGATGTGGTAGGTGCATAGAAGACTTCATAGTGAAGTGTAAGCCGTTCACGGTCTTTCTGTGGGTGCATGCATACTGTCGCTGTTTACGGCCACATTGACAAACAACCCCGAAAACTAACGCTGACAGCTACTACTCTTATTTCATACTAAGTCAGCATAAGCCTTATGCGCCTAAATGGGTGCATTTTCAGCATTTTACAATATCAACAATACATATATCAGAGGGTTATCAACAAAAATATTAACTTTTAAATGAGTAGAAAATGCGAAGAGTGCACCCCCATAACTCGAGTCATTATCGATCAAGCAACGATTGCAGAATGCTGCACTAAATCTTCAGAGTTTACACCCAATCAAGAAAGGACAAGGTTTTGTTGCAAGTTTTCCTCATACTTCGTTTTAGTTGAGGTGGAATTTTGTGTCCACATACCGGGGATCGTGCGTGATATCTCGGCGTTTATATTCAAATGAAGGATAGAGTAGATTGGTCGAAATGACCTTAGAAGTTGAATGAACAAAATTTCCGCCCGCTTATTCTTGTAAAACTGATATATCAAAGGTAGATAATGCAAAATATGGTTTGATGCAAACGACAAGGGCCGATTTAAAGACTGATTATAACGCGAAACTTGGAAGACTACCAGAAAGGTGTATTGTTGGTGTTACCTTCGTTCGTTGTCTAGCTCATGTGATCATGCGTCTTCAAGATCTGGGTGTGTTAGTCCCTAGGGTTTGACTGTGATATCCAAGTTTGATAAAACTCTTTTTCTTCCCTCATCTCGTTGTTCATTAGGGGATCAAGTGTCTGACAGCGGAGTAAGTAAACAACGAACTCAAGTCTATGATGATGTCTTAGGTCAGTTCAAGAATGTGCTTTTATGCACCCGTGACGGATGAATTTTCAGCTTTCAGAAGTACACCATCACCACCGTGGCACCAGGCGGTCACAAACAACATTTTCGTGCTAAGAATTTACGGCAGTGATAGATTGCTACTTCACATGGGCAACTCGCTAATAAGTAGTTAATAACCTACAAAATCGCAACATTGATGATGCTACTTATATTTACGAGTAGGTATTTGTAACTCATTATTTCTTAAGTGTTTCACTTCTTCACCACTCTTCTGCTTGCCATGGCATGAGGCTAATTCCAGTTTCTATTGGATTTCCTATCAGTTGGTTTTTTATTACCTAACGGTTCGTCATATTTAGCAGCTTACGATTCTACAATCGAGTCCTTGGTTTACACTTTCTTGTGCGGAAAGCTCGGCGCGTTCTCCACTCTGGACCTGAATTTTTGCTACATTGTTCGCTATTTTCATCTCGACCATCCTAACATGCCACGATAAATGTTATGACATATTGTGCTCATTTGGTCTACAGGGGTAGCACAATGACATTAATAAGTTTGGAAGGCTTGGGTTTACGTTCACATCGATGACTCTGGGTGTGGGTAGTAACAGGTGGTGGTAGGTTCACTACTCTAATGTGTTCACACACTACTTTACCTGCTTTGCTGTAACGTGCCTCTCAGAACCTACTACTCTTGACCGCATTATCCAAGTCATCTTCATATACAATATTTGTCAATCTATTCTCCGACGTCATTACACCAGTGATGTTGTTTGCCGGACCTATTAAAGCCAGCGTCTGTTATCATCTCCTTTGCAGCGATGGTCGACCAGTCTCCTCAGGTGGCGTCATAAGTTCCCGACCGATGCGGTGGAACCGAAAGAACCAAGGTGCACTGCCGTTGTACCCTTCAGTATATACCATCTGTTAATGCTACCATTGAATCTGACATTTTTCTGTGGCTCAGGAACGAAGCGAAACATCTGTATTTGTCGCTATATACTTGCTATGCAGTGAGCTTTATGAACCATTCCACCATAAGATCCAAAAAGTATGCGTGTCACACGCACTTTCTGCAATCCAAAAATGCACACGGTAGATCAGTGAAAGCAAGGGAGCGTAAGTGCAGTGTATCTGGGTCGAAATAGGTAGGCCATTGGCATTCAGGGTGCACTGGTGACGGACAGGATAGAAGTGGCGTGCTGTCTAAACAAACGACCACCGTCTCCTTCATCCCGGCCGATGCCACAGAACCGAGTCAAGCTTGAGAACCGAGGTGGGCGCTGGAATGACCAGAAGGAACTAATCTACCGCTACTGATCATTAACTGCGACACAGATGACGAAGGACAGGAATATTAATATTTCTCATCATCTTACATATTAATAAAGGTGGTATACCTAATCAATTACAGACGCAGATAAAGGGACATGAACACTCGTTGAATTATGCTGTTCTTTCATCGGGTGTCCATACTGACATTAAGTCAGTGGAAAGCCGATGCCGTTACCTTAAACATGTATCCGATCCAAATGCAACCGATACCCAGTTCACACAGTCTGCTATTTTCAACCATCCGCACACCACTAAAAACCACACTACCAAAACTACAGAGAATGAGCGCGTAGGAATCCAACGAAATGCTTAGTACTGCCTTTGAACATGTGATTCCAACCAGTGGTATGAACCTTCCATAGTGTCCAATTTTTATTAGTTTCTGTGGAATCATGCTTTGGGCTTGGCAATCCGGATTTTGGCTGGCATGGCAGTTGAAGTTGATATGATGTCCAGAGAAAAATGTACGAGAGAAGAAGGAGGAAATTTACTGATGTTAGAATCCTTTCCTTATCCAACTTCACTATGTAAACCACCTGAAGCGACCCCGCTGCGCAAGCCCTAACGAGGCGCGATTCAAAGCTCAGTTGCGTTTTTGGTAGCTGATCCTCTCCCTAGTAAACCACCAAGGCGTCTGCACCTATCTAGGCGAAGCACGTGGGATCGTAACCACAGGCTAAGGGACTGTGCGTTCGGAAAGTGGTGGCAAATGCATCGTAGACCGATAGACCAATTCGCTGGTTTGCCAGCTCGTGGCCATGAGAAGCGCTTGCATTGACTGGGACACGTTGGCTATTTACCGAGGCTTACAAGGCTGGAGATAAAGTTGATTTTCAACTGGGTCCATGGGGTTAAGTCACTTAATGTTACATCACCTTCCACTTTCAGGCACAACTAGATTAGTCCTACAAGTTAACAGCACACTGGATGCACTTTTTGCTTGTGCTATGCTTCATGGTACGTGATATCTTTATGGAGTGATCATTGGGCGGCGCAATGCAATTGCAAAATGTAGATGAAGAAAACGGAACCTGAAGCCTGGAAGTGAGGTTGTAAAAATGGTCAAAACTTATATTGTGGTGCCTCCACACGGAAATCTTAAGTAAAATGTGTAAGATAGTACCACAAATAAGGAGAGACGGGAATTTGAAACATGCTGCTGCGCAGCTGGCTGAATAGACTGGAATTCGTTATGTGGGGTCATTCACTCGATGAAATGAAGTGGATTCTTACTCTCAGCATGTCCAAAGTATGCGGCAGACTTGTTTTATAGGAGTACAAGCCACTGCATCGAAGCAATCACATCGCTGCGACATAGGTGCCTCAATAATATGCAATATTTTCACCATGCACTGAAATTAAGTCAGAAGCTTCATCGAAATTGGCGCAAGGTTCAGCGTACGTCAGTTTTTCCTCTATTTTCATGGTAGTGTGATTGTAGAGGGAATTAGGGATCCTAATGTGTGGCAGATTTTAGCTGGACAAAAAACTTTAGATGGCACGCACAAAATAGCCGGTTTAGTAAATATTTTTCTAGTTAATGTGTCGCATCGAACGGGTCCTATATACTATACAGTTCTGCAGGTTGGGTCATATGTATATTGATGACTCAGCAGTTATGCATGAAGCATTCAGCGCTTTTTTTACTGCTTCTTTAGTAGAAGAACTTGCACTCATGCCAGTGATGCTTACACTGCCTAAATTGTTGTCGGTGTAGTATATAATCCAACGCTGCGTAAACTGGAAGTCAGCTTTCGCGACTGAAATCATTCTTACACCAAGGAGTTGACGGGATACTCCTGGGTCTGAATATTCAAGCTGGAGACGACTTCTCTTTGCTGTTACTCCACTTGATTACGCCAACGCTATATAATGGCGTGTACCCAACGTAATGGAACACGTCGGTTATCATACCACGGCACAAAGGCAAGTCAGCTCATGAAGTCAAAAACTACAGACCGATGAACCACTAGCTCATCAATGAGATGCTCTGTTCTTCTCTGAAAACAGTATCTTGGGTGGTAAAAGTATGGTACTTCTTTCCTGTTGGCAGACAAGATACAACTCGTTCATCCTTGAATTGGCAAGTCACACACACACACACACACACAACAGATCTTATGGTACATTCAGAATGATCCTCCATCTTATGTAACCTACGGTCCCTTGTGACAAACGTCGTTTGCCCGCAGCTAAGTGCAATATCATACCGTCCAAGTCTCCCATGCCACCGAACGGCATGGTGCGTACATCTTAAAACGCGCATCAATTCTCCCCTTAGACCAACAATACTCCCACAGTTTCGACTTGCCAGGACAGTGTGATTTCTAAATAGTAAACGCGAAGGACGCTGTTGGCTACAAAAGTCATTCCTTCTCACGCTTTGAGCGCCGGATTCAGTGATACCATACATTCCATTGCCAATCATTCTAGAATGTTCACTTGTAAACATAAACATGCAGAATTCGGACAAAATGGTGGTTGAGCGATCACAGCTGCGCATTACATCAATACTAATTGAGTACTCTGCAAAACTCAATTGCACGGAGCGTGCACTGTCGTTTGACTGCAATCCATATGGTTGCGAGGGATGAGATTAAAATTGTGTATTCCAGTTCGAAAAGTCACACATATATTCATACAGCTGGATCATATCTGTGAATGCCGCTAAGTGCAGATATCCCATATGCGGCGCAATTTGAGATCACCATTCTAAGAAGGAACAAAAAATAGAGAGATCTGTTTTCCACTACTAACTCCAAGCTTTGAAACAGGTTGCCTCAAAATAGCATACAGTGCGACAAATTGCATGAATTTGGACTGGTTCTCGAGAAATTCCTCATTGTACAATACCTCATATCTATACCATGAATAAAACACGATTGGGAAAACATAATCGAATATGATATTGATAATGTATAGGAAAATAATGACTCATTGTCGCATCTGCGTTGCCCTTTGTGAAATCGAGTATCGTTAGCATGGGCATGGTGGAAAAATTAACTCTTCAAGATTTGTTTTGCGAATGTCATGCAACTAAAGTCCCTGTTGATAAACGTGAAAATTCTGAAGCATTCTCACTGTCGGATCTTTTCTGTCGCATCTAGGTTATCGATATCATCTCGCCTCCTGGAAGATAGGGCAGAAATGGTCCAATGATATGCGACAAGTCAGACCACTCACATCATTTGCTACGCACACACCCTTCAGATTTGAGCAATACGGGGGCGAAAGTGTTGCGAAACCACTCCGTTTATCCCACGTTGAGGGCTCACTAGGTCACTGGCATTACAATAACGGATAAGCTAGTACCACTGAAAGGTAAGACACCATCAGCGTTTAACCATAAGTCACCGCAGCAGTCAAAGTTAGCGGGTCAGGGCAATTCCTTAAACACAGATATGGGGTGGTAGATGTTTCTTTATTGTGTTGCACAGACTGCTTTATGAAACAACTACGGAATCGACGTCATATCGTAGACCGTGTATGATGGATAACAACGGCGCTCAACTTTTTGTGGCCGCTGGCCAAAATAACCTTAGGGAATATAACCGAGGACCGCATACATTCCCACTGCTAATATGTCCATTGGGACATCTTAGTCTGGAGGTACATTAAAGCAAATCAATATAAGTGTACAAAATAGCCAAGTTAACGATCTTACTCATACATATTCGTTCCAGTCCCGAACCGTTACTCTTCCATGTGGGGACCGCGCTTGCATTTCAGAAATGAACATCTGCATATTCAGTTCAACATGACCAACACTCATTTTTACACGTTCGTGGAGATGCCGGTCTGTTATCATAAACGACAGTACGACTTGGTTTGTATCATTGTGGAAAACGCTTGTTTCCAGAAGTATGTGCTTGCAACTTTCGTTGTCGTTTTGATGGAGAAGTGGTGAAGTTCCGCATGCACATCCAACATGTGAAGTGCATAACAATCAAGCACGGAACTTTCGCGATACAGTTACTGCAAGTTTGCTGAGCACTGCAGATCAATCAGTTTCGATTGTAAGTTAGGTAACACAGCCGCAGCATCAGTACCAAACGGGTTTTCAAACAATTGATCACTAATATTTTGGAACTCTTGAAACCGTTCACTAAGCTTGTCCTTCAAGAGATTCAGCATCTCAACAATGCATCATGTTGGGAAAGGCAGGTCGGGTATATGTGCATCTGACTGAACAAACGGGGAAAGGAACCAATAAGCCTTTCTATACACGCTGAATAAAGAGCTGTAACTTCATTCTGAACGATTTTACATAGGCTTAGATTTGAGAAAACTATCTTCCCTGTCACAGTAGTCTGTATGCATGTCATTCAGACGAGCAGTCAGATAATCTAAATTGTTATATCCCGTGACTATTTAGGGTTTAAAATCATTGGTACATGTCCTTATTTCTCTGTCATGAAAACTTCAATGTTATGTCTCAGCTGGAAGAACATTTGGAGCAATTTTCCTATACTCAGCTATAGAACTACATTGTGACACAGCAAGGCACCGTACTCAGCCC